CAGCCGCATGCCGTGGTTGCAACTACATCTGTGCAGCCGCCATGTACACCAGCGTCTTCCTCATTGCACTGCTCGGCCTGCATCGCTGCCTGGTGGTGTCCCGACCATCAGCTGCAGTGCTGGCAGGTGACCGTGCCACCCAGCTGGCCCACGGGGCTGCTGCCGTCACTTGGCTGGTGGCCTTGGTGCTGGCCACCCCTTCTATTGCTTTCCGGCACGTGGAGAACGGGATGTGCGAGCGGAACCACAGTTCCAGTGCTTGGCTGGTAACCCACAACCTGCTGGAGACAGGGCTGGGCTGGGCTGTGCCACTGGTCACCGTGGCCATTGGTTATGGGCTGCTGCTGTGGCGGCTGCGGCGGACGCGATTGGCACGGCGGGGCCGCACGCTGCGGTTGGTGGCTGCCGTGGTGGTCGCCTTTGCCATCACCTGGGGACCCTACCATGTCGGGAGCTTGTTGGAAGTGGTGGTGGAGCTGCAGAGCTGCAGTGAGACTCTAAGAAAGGTTGCCAAGGCCATCCGGCCACCAGCCACTGCGCTGGCATTCCTCAGCAGTGCCCTAAATCCGCTGCTCTATGCCTGCGCCGGACGGGGACTGTGTCGCACTGCTGGGGCTGCACTCCTGCCCCGGCTCCTAGAGGGCTCCACAGCCTCCAGCAGTGCCCGTAGGACTGTCACCCATTGGGCCAGAAGCTCACGGGGACAGCGGGAGATTGGAGGCAAGGAGGTGGCCAGGGAGGACGTGGGGATGGGGGATGGGAGGACAGTGGCAGAGGGAACAGTGACAGGTGATGAGGGGACAGTGCTGGAAAGCACTGAGATGGGGGACAGTGGGAGGGTGTGATGGATGGAAAGGCTTTTGGATGGATGTTGTCATTATATTGTGGGGTGGCATGGGGAGGGGTCCATGGAGTCCTCTAGGGTTGCATTGGGGATTCCCAGGGGTAACTGTGGGAGCTTTAGGGGAGGGTGGCCTTTAGGGCTTATTGGGAGAACTCAGGGGACATCGGGGAGTCTCAACATGTGGGTCTCAGTGAGGACATTCAGGGAGGAACTGGGAGAGCTGAAGGATGTTTGGGGGCCCGGGGGTGTACTGAAGCATGCCTAGGATGTCACCACCACACACAGAGGTGTCCCCATCGCATATGACAGGTGTCCAGGGGACCATAGGGTGTCACCATTGTGTCACTGGGATGTCACAGCAGGGTCCCAGGAAATTCATCTGGAATGCCGTTGGAGTGTCCTCAGGGGTCTCTATGGAGTGTCATCATGGAGTCAAAGCTGTGTCATAGCTGATGGTGTCACTGCTGGATGGGGCCACATGTCCCTTTCCCTTGGCCACCTCATCCTTTGGTGACATCACTGGTGACTTCATACCCTCCCAATGGGCTCGGCCCTGCCTCCTGGAGTCAGTGATGGCAACACCTGTGCCTGTTTGTGTTTTTACGGGAAGAAAAAATAAAGTACATAACTTCACAGTTTTGCCTCATTCTTCCCCATTTTGCTGAGGGCCAACAAGGCAACCTCACCCAGAGCCACAGGATAGGGGACACAGGGGACAGCAGATGGATGTGGGGACTGGGAAGAGAGACAGGGACAGAATGGGGCGTGGGATGGGAAGGACAGGTGGCGCAGAAAAGGGACAGTTTGGGATGTGAAAGGACATGGGCTGAAGAAGGGGTGCAGGGACAGGACTGGGGCTGTGAGGGGGGACATACAGTGGGTATAGGAGAAGGGATGAGGCGGGAGCACTGGGATGAGGAAGAGACACTGGGTCAAGGCTGGATACACAGTACAGGGTTAGGGGAAGAGAAGAGGGACACTTTGTCATAAGGCAATGAATGCTCTTCTGTGGTCTGCTCTGTCCCCTGCTGGTGCGGCACTGCTTTGTCACCACCATCGGTGCAGCTGGCTTGGAAATGGAGCAGGGAGTGAGGGTCTCAGTGCAGGGTGGGCATCAGATGAGGAGTGCCCGGGAATCCCTTCCAGACCCAGCGTGTTTCCTGCAAGAGGATACCACTGTGAGCCATGATGGATATTTTGGGAAGCTCAGACCCCACAGCCAGAGCCCTCACCTATGCCTCCACCACCAAACTGCCCCGATGATGATGGCAGTGAGGAAAAGGATGGTGATGGTGACGACGATGGTGGAAGATGCACTGGGGTTTTCTTGAATGGGGAGAGAGCAGAGGATAGCCGTGAGCGTGTGGCAGCTCCAGGCCACCCAAATCCCATCCCCATTCCCTACCCCAGAGGACGAGGAGGCTGCGGTCACCCAGGCTGCAGTGCTGCACGCGGCAGGTGTAGCTGTGCCCGTCCCGGGGGGACACCAGCAGGGTGCTGCGGAGCTGGTAGGTGAGGTCGGCGTTGGGTAACACAGCGCCGGTGCTCAGCGCCGGGCTCGGCGGCACCTCTCTGCCGTCCCGCAGCCAGGTGATGGTGATGGGCGGTGGGTAGAAGCTGGTGACACGGCAAACCAGCAGGAGCTGCGCTGGGCCGGCCGTGCGGGCGAAGACCACAGCGATGGGTGGCACTGGGGACAGCAGCAATGGGAGTTCAGTGTGAGCACAACTCAATCTGGGAGCAATAGGGTGGCTATCTGAGGGCCAAGGATCGCTCACCTCGTCTCTCCAGATCTGTCCTCCCTTCCTTGTGCAGCATGAGGATGTAGTCTGGCAAGGAGGTGGAGAAGATGTGCTCCAGGAGCCCCGACACGGCGCGGAGGTCAGTGAGAGTGTTGCTCATCAGCTCAGCCAGCAGGGTGGACCTCCGGGGAACCCAGCGCTCCTCACTCAGGTCGTATGTCACCAGGTCTCTGCCACCTTCCCCAATGTTGACAAAGCTCCATCTTGTTCCGTTGGTGTAAAGCTTGCAGCCTGTGTGGATCTGGAAAACCAGTGGGTCTGCAAGGGGCAGAAGGGTATGTGAGCATAGGGACATGAAGATGGCTGGGGAGGTGTGGGCACGATGGGCACCGTGACCACATGAGCTGCCAAAGGAGAAGAGCCGAGCAGTGCAGGGTGGCAGCTCAAGCACTTTGCCCTGCAGAATGTCCCCCTGCAATATTTTCCTTCGTGTTTCCCCTTCCCTGATTCGTGCCAGGTGATTCCCACGGCCCTGATAATTGTGGGAGCAGATCCTACATGTCCTCCATATCAGGGGAGCAGGATCAGGGGGCAGAAACCCCACAACGCATTTCAGCGCTCCACTGAAATCTCAGGAGACAGAGTGTTTCCCATCACCCTTTGGAGGCTGTCAGCCCCTGCCAAAAGACCCCACAACCCATCACTTTTTGGAGGCTGTCAGACCCCTAGAAGATCCCACAAACTCTGTTGCTTGGTCTGCAGCTGTCCCTCCTACTCACAGTCCAACCCTGCCTTTGTAGCCATCTCATGCATGAACCGAATCGTATTGCGTATGCCGACCATGGAGAAGGACAGAATCTTCTTCACTTCACTCTTAGCCGTGGCCTCGTGGACCCATGGCCGGCAGATGTTTAAGTTCCAGGTGTGTGGATCCAGCACCCCTATGGGCACATCTGCCAGCAGAGCCGTCCCAGTCAGTTCTGTGGAGCTGATGTTATCCAAGAGCAACGTGTAGAAGAGCTGGAAAAACTGTAATTCTTCAGGGGGAGGGCATGAGGCTGCAGGAAAGAGGGGAGTGAATGGTGGATGTACCCCATTGCCCAGGTGACCATCTCTGCTGTAGAAGGACATGCAGGGTGTCATGGCAAGAAGCTCATCCACATGATCCCCAGTCTAGAGGCAAGTGGGCATAGACAGGGGCCCCTTTGGGTGCTGTGAGGGTGGGGGCAGCCCCTCGGTACTGGAGACTATTCCCATCACACAGGAAAAGGTCTCTTAGCCATGCCTCCCCACACACTGCTATAGGGTCCCATGATGATGGCTGGGGTGAGCAGGGGCTCCCACTTACTTTCTGCTTCTGCCCATGTCTCGTGGAGGAGAAGGAAGAGGAAGAGGTAGTGAGGCCACATCGTGCCTGCAGCGAAGGCAGTGCAGCAAGGATGGTGGGAAGAGGAAGTGCAGTGGGGTCCCAAAGGCTGCGCTCCACCAATGGGGCTGGCCAGTGAGGTTTCTGGGAGGGTCTAAGATGGGGGCTGGAGAAGCATATGAGGGAATGAGGCTGAACTTGTTTTCTTTTGGATCACTGCGCAGCAACTGCACCCCTCTACTGGTGGCAGAGAGTGAGGACATTTGTGCCAATATTGGGGTGCTGCAGCATGTGATGGGTGCTGGGCAAAGGGTCATGGGGTGACCAGGAGCCCCCATCTCCCCCTAGCCAGCCACCCCCAGGCACAAACAGACATGTTTCTCTTCCCCTTTCCTATGGGCCCCATGCTGGGGGCAAAGCAGAACTGAAACTCAGTCGAGGGGAAGCGCAGAGCCGGGGTGGATGGTTCCAGTGCTGTCCCTCATGACTGCAATTGGTGTCCCTGAAGGGCTGTGGGGCTTCTGCCCACTCAGACCCCGGTGGCACGGCGGTGACCCCAGAATGTGGGGTTTCAACTTCCCAGGTGAGGGCTGAGCCCCGGAGGCCCTCAGGTGCTCCCACGGTGCGTGTACCCTCTGGGCACCACTTCTCACTCCCTCTTGGCTTTCCCTCGAGCCCCTTCCCTCTGCATGCCCCTTCCCAGCCCCGTTCTGCCCAGAGGTGCGCAGAGGCACTGCTGGGATCCACTGCTTTTGGAGCCGGAATTGTTCAGGAGCGCGGATGTGTTCCTCCCAGGGCTGAGATTGGGGTGCTGCTCCCATCGTCTGGGAGCACCTCGCCCCACAGCACGGTTATGCTCACAGAGGAAGTACTTGTGGGCTGGGATTTCCACACAAGCTGTACAACCTATAGGTCTAATTATTCATTTATTCCACGCTCCGTTTGCCTCAAACCTGCCTGTTTTCACCCAAATCCCACTCACACCCACATCTGCATGGTGAGCAAGGCAGTGTTTGAGCGTCGCTTTCCTCTCGGAGCACAGTAGAGCTCAGTGCTGCTCAGCGCTTCCAGCGCCGCTGGTGGGCGTCGCTGGAGGGGGAATTAGGCACAAATATCTCCGGAATAGGGTTAATAAAGGCAGTGGGTGGGCAATAAAATGCAGAAGGTGCCAATGGGAGGGCGCAGCTCGCTGCTCGTGGGCAGGTGGGTACCTTTATCAGGGCTGGGGGGGCTGCCGCGAGCACTGGGGCGCCTTCACGAGGTGCAGCGCTGAAAAGCACTCAACTGTGCCCCCTCCCCTCACCGGGCGTTCCGCGGCCGCAGCCCCCGTAGTGTCCCGCGGCTGCCCCATCCTGCGCTGCGCTCCGGTGCTCCTCCAGAGGGATGCTGCGCTCCTCGTCCAAGCGCTGCCGCTTCCTGCAACGGGAATGGGCGCTGCGGGGCGGGGCGGGGGTCTCTCGGAGGAGCAGCGGGGCAGGAGGTGCTCTCACCTGTATCTCCACACCAACCCTGCGGCGACGGCGGCCGCAGCCAGCAGCAGGACCGCCCCGAGCCCCGCGCTCAGCCCCTGCTTGGAGTGCTCTGAGGAACACAGCCCGTCAGCTCTCTCGCTCCTCGTGCCGAGGGAACAGGGCTCGGGAGCCGCATCCCCGAGGGGGACAACCTACCCCAGGGGACGAGGAGGCTGCGGTCACCCAGGCTGCAGTGCTGCACGCGGCAGGTGTAGCTGTGCCCGTCCCGGGGGGACACCAGCAGGGTGCTGCGGAGCTGGTAGGTGAGGTCGGCGTTGGGTAACACAGCGCCGGTGCTCAGCGCCGGGCTCGGCGGCACCTCTCTGCCGTCCCGCAGCCAGGTGATGGTGATGGGCGGTGGGTAGAAGCTGGTGACACGGCAAACCAGCAGGAGCTGCGCTGGGCCGGCCGTGCGGGCGAAGACCACAGCGATGGGTGGCACTGGGGGATGGAAACGAGGGGATTGCAGTGCGGCACGGCTCAGCCCCCACGTCTGGGGCTGATGTGGCAGCACCAGGATCAGCTCACCTTGTCTCTCCAGATCTGCTTTCCCAGCCTGGATGAAAATTCTCAGAATGTCCACACAGGTGTTGTTGAGGAGCACTTGGATCACCTCATTGAGAGTGCTGGCGTTCATCATCAGGTGCTCAGCTATGGCTGCCAACTGGTTATGTTGCATCTGATCCCAAGTGCCTTTGTCCAGGCAGAAACGGAGGAAATTCTGGCCCTCGTAAGCAATGTCTAAGAAGGTCCTGATGGTCCCATTGGACTGGAGCTCACAGCCTATGGAGGACTGGAAGACAAAAGGGTCTGGGGGCAAGGGATATTGTGGTAGAGTTGGTATGTGGGATACTCAGCTTTGTGGCCACTTTGGGTCTCACTGAGTGTTGCCCCATGCCCAAAAACTCTGGTTCTTGTATTCCAATGTCAAAAAAAGGCCCTGGTGGTCCAAAGCTCAGTCAAGTGAATGTTTGTGTCCTGCAGCCAGAAGCAGTACAAGGACATATTGTCCCAGCACTGTCACCTCCCGAGAACACCATTCTCTCGGTGCCCTGGGGAAAATGTATGAGTCCCCAAGGGGCTGCTGGGCTCTGGGGAATGGATCCAGTGCTGTACCAATGTCTCTTTGCACCCCATCCCCCTCCAAGCACAACCTATTCCTTCTGGGATGTTCCCTGCCATGATGGTGACACGGGGACAGCCCATGCAGGGGTGCTGGGGCTTAGCCCTAGCACCCAGTGACACTGAGTCAGCCCCCGGGGAATGAGCACTGCACATCACTTCCCTTCTCTGGAACCACTCTACAGAGAAGTGGTGACGCTGAAGTGTCCCCAAGGGCCCAAATCTGGCACCTGTGGTCTGATTTCCTGCACAGCCCATTGAGGAGATGTCCAGCCCTGGAACTGTGATGTATCTGTCCCTCCTGTCAGGGCTAGTGTCTGGAAGGACAGTAGAGAGCAGCCGGTGGGCTGGCAAGGATTGGCTGTAGTGTGGCTGCTGAGAGTACCCACTGTTCCCTCAGGTGACTGTAGGTCCCCAGTCTGCCCAGCAGATATGCACTGTTTATCATAGTCTGCCACAGTGTGATCACTGTTCCTTACTATACTGAAGCTTGATCTGTCCCAGAGGGGACTTTGGAAATGGGGTGGGGAAGGGACACGTACAGGGCACTGTGGTGTACATCTGCACCAGCCTGCTGAAATCTCTCACGTATGACTTGATGGAGCTCTCGATGACATCCCAGTCACCTTTCAGCAGGGATGGGCGCAGCCAGGGCCGGTAGTAGTGGATGTTCCCAGTGCGGCTGTCCAGAGACCCTATTTCCACGTCCCCCAAGAGTCCCAGTCCTCCCACAAGCACGGAGGTGCTGTTTTGGAAGGTGGCGAAATGGAGAAGCTTGAGCATGTGGGAGCCTGCAGGAGATGGGAAGAGAGCTGGGGTAAGTGTCCCCAGTTTTGTCATTGCTGATGGCTCCTTGGGGCCCCCCATAGCTCGCCATCACCTCAGCTTCATTTACCCCCCAGCTTGACCACAGCCCCATAAGGGAGGATTTTTGAGGTGAGAAGAAAGGGTTAGGGTAAGCCATGGTTAAAACTTACCCTCTGGCTCTGCCCAGGTCCCAGGGAAGAAGAACAGAAGGAGGATGGCATGGGGCTGCATGGTGTCTGCAGTGCAGCTCCTCACAGATGCAGCAGGATGATGAAGGGACTGCTCACTTCTCAAGGCAGCTCTCGCCTTGCTGGTGGCACTGGGTGGCCACAGCAGCCAATAGGTTCTGTGCTGAGGTTTTGGGGAGGTCCCTGAGGTGCCCTCTGCAGGGAGCTGGGCTGAGGTATTCAGGCTATGGGTCTGGAAGGATTCTTTCTGGCCCATGGCTGAACCGAAAAAACCTCAAGGGTTACCACATAGGGATGGCACAAATGGTCTCCTCCTCTTGTAAGTCTGTCCCAGGAGCCATCCTGCCTGAGGTGACTTTGAGGTCAGTCTCCAGTGGGAGACCTCCCAAGACCAAGAGTCACTTGAAAGGAGCATGGGACCAGGAGACGCATCAGAATGGACTGCAGGGACAAGGAACACGAGGAGGCACACTGAGACCAGCCCACCAGCAGCACTCCACTGTCCTTCAGACACTAATGGCCCTGCTGAGAGAGACAGGGACATCACAATTTCAGATCTTAACATTACCTTTCTAATAATAACGTCATCAGACTTAGATGTTTAAGTTAGTCTAGTTTGATTTTTGCAAAACGCTGTTAATTGCCTTGCATATTCCCCATTACAGAACCACCACATACATTTTTACAATTCAAAAACAATTCAAGTTTTACTTTTTGGCATTTTTAAATTGTTTTTTAATGCAAGAAAGGCATTTACTAAAAAAATAAACCCGAAACATTAAAAATATTAACAAGACAGTGACTGAGAGAACATTAAGATGGCCCTGTGCTCGCTGCTAACCTACCCTATCATTAGATGTGCCACATAGTGAGATTTTAGTGCATCAACTAAAAAAAAAAAAAAAAAAAGCATGACAATATAAATTCGATCATTTCTTACAGATATTCATAAGCAGTTAACACAGGTTTCTTGAGTTTGGAGAATTGTTCCTTCTTTTTCTTTTTTTCTTCTTTTTTTTCTTCTTTTCTTCTTCTTTTTCTTATTCATTTGTTCTTCATTTCTACCCAATCCCCCCGCTTAACTTTGTGTTCGTCACTTGAAACCAGAATGGAGAAGCCCTTTCCGCGGTCTCTACTGCCACCGCGTGGCCAAAGTGAGAAACTGCACCGCGCTGTGACGAGGGGCGGAAGCGCTGTTGGCGGCTTTAGGGAGCGGAGAGAGATCGGAGGAGCTCCTGGAGCGCAATGTGCGCGCTGGCCACCTCAGACTCTCCTCCTTCCCCCGCTGATCTGCAGTGATCGGTGGTGCCCCGCGGAGCACCAGATTTTAGGTAACGAAATACTGAAGTATTTACATGATGGCCTTTAAACGTAAAACAAGTGAAATATCGATAAAAGAGCATGCGCAGTGTAGGCGCCAAAGTTGGCACATGCGTATTAGTCTATCGAAACTGGCGCATGCGCCCTGTTGTGCCAAAACTGCCGCATGCGTACAGCTGTACTAAAACTGGCGCATGCGCACAGCTGTGGTAAAAGTGGCGCATGCGTGTTGTAGAGCTAAAACTGGCACATGCGCAATGCGGTGCTAGAACTGGCGCATGCGCACTGTAGTACCAAAACTGGTGCATGCGTGCTGCTCCGCTAAAACTGGCGCATGCGTAATGCAATGCTAAAACTGGCGCATGCGTGTTGTAGCGCCGGAACTGGCGCATGCGTAGTTATGCTAAAAACTGGCGCATGCGTGTTGTAAAGCCAAAACTGGCGCATGCGTACTGCTCCGCGAAAACTGACTCATGCGCACTGTTGTGCCAAACTGCCGCATGCGTACTGCAGAGCCGAAACCAGCGCATGCGTACTGCAGAGCCGAAACAGGCGCATGCGTACTGCTCTGCTAAAAATTAGCGCATGCGTGTTGTAGAGCTAACACTGGCGCATGCGTACTGCTCCGCTAAAACAGGCGCATGCGCATAGCCGTGCTAAAACTGGCGCATGCGTGTTGTTGAGCTAAAACTGGCGCATGCGTACTGCTCCGCGAAAACTGGCGCATGCGCACAGCAGTGCTAAAACTGGCGCATGCGTGTTGTCGAGCTGAAACTGGCGCATGCGTACTGCTCTGCTAAAACTGGCGCATGCGTGTTGTAGAGCCGAAACTGGCGCCTGCGCGTTGTAGCGCTAAAACTGGCGCATGCGTACTGCGTCGCTAAAACTGGCGCATGCGCACAGCTGTGCTAAAACTGGCGCATGCGTGTTGTAGCGCTAAAACTGGCGCATGCGTACTGCTCTGCTAAAACTGGCGCATGCGTGCTGTAGCGCTAACACTGGCGCATGCGTACTGCTCCGCTGAAACAGGCGCATGCGTGTTGAAGCGCTAAAACTGGCGCATGCGTACTGCACCGCTAAATCCAGCGCATGCGCACAGCTCTACTAAAACTGGCGCATGCGTGTTGAAGCGCTTAAACTGGCGCATGCGTACTGCTCCGCTAAATCTAGCGCATGCGCACAGCTCAATTAAAACTGGTGCATGCGTGTTGTAGCGCTAAAACTCGCGCATGCGTACTGCTCCGCTGAAACTGGCGCATGCGTGTTGAAGCGCTAAAACTGGCGCATGCGTACTGCTCCGCTAAATCTAGCGCATGCGCACAGCTCTACTAAAACTGGCGCATGCGTGTTGTAGCGCTAACACTGGTGCATGCGTACTTCTCAGCTAAAACTGGCGCATGCGTGCTGTAGCGGTAACACTGGCGCATGCGTACTGCTCCGCGAAAACTGGCGCATGCGCACCGCTCTGCTAAAACTGGCGCATGCGTGTTGTAGAGCTAACACTGGCGCATGCGTACTGCTACGCTAAAACTGGCGCATGCGCATAGCTTTTCTAAAACTGGTGCATGCGCATAGCTTTTCTAAAACTGGTGCATGCGTGTTGTAGAGCTAAAATTGACGCATGTGTGTTGTAGAGCTAGAACTGACGCATGGGCATTGTTGTGCCAAAGCTGGCGCATGCGTACTGTAGAGCCAAAACCAGCGCATGCGTACTGCTGTGCTAAAACTGGTGCATGCGCGCTGCTGTGCCAAAACAGACCCCTTTGGGGACTGTGGTGTGCAGGGGAACCCAGGAGTGTTCTCACACTTCATCAGGTGGCCACCATCCCCATCCTGTAGTGCATGGGGATGCTCTGTGTCACCGTGTTGTCAGCCAGCGTCTCTGGAGCTTCACTGGGGCTGTGGGGACAGGCAGCCAGGTCACCTCCAGCATCACCCCAGCAATGACACCCCCCAGCAATACCCCCAACATCACCCCAGCATCACTCCTTAATATCAACCCCAGTGATCCCCCATCACCACCCAACAATGACACCCCCCACACACACCATGTCAGCCCCACAATGTGACCCCAGTGTCACCCTGAAGGTACACCCCAACATCATTCCCCACAGTCACGCCTCATATCAGCCCAGTGTCACTCCACACAACCTGCCCACAATGTCCCCCCCAAGTGATACCCAATACCACCCACCAACATCACTCATGACAACCCGAAAATGTCCCCCCCATGTCACGGCAGTATCACCTTTCAGCATCCTCTGAACAATGTCACTCCATGATGTCATCCCCTAGAGATACCCCAACAATAAATATCCCCCCAATGTCACTCTAGCATCACCCTGCAGCATCTCTGCCAAATATTAATCCAGCGTCACCTCAACATCATTCCTGCGTGTCTCCTGCAGCATCACTCCAACAATGTCATCCCCAGTAATAGCCCGACATCACTCCAGTATCACCCCCAATATCACTCCCTGTTGAAAGCCCCGAGTGACACTAACATCACCCCCCCAGCTTTACTCCCTATTATTATCCAAGGTCATCCCAACGTCACACAGTGCAACCCCCCAACATCACCACCCAGCATCACTCCCTGAGGTCACCCCAGTGATACCCCATCGCTCCTAACATCACCCTAGTGCCACCCCAACATCAGCACCTCCTAACAATTGTTACTGCTTAATATCACCAGTATCACCTTTAACATCCCTCCAGCACGGCTGTCACTCCAGTATCTCCCCTCAAGCATCACTCCTTGATATTAAATCCCAGCGATACCCAACATCATTCCCAGCGTCATCACCTCTCAGCATCACTCCCTGATGTTACCCCTCAGTAACACCCCAACATCACCCTCCAACATCCCTTCCCAGTGTCACCACTGCAACAGCATCACCCCTTGATGTCAAACCCCAGTGAACTCCCATCAGCCCCCCACATCACTCCCTAGTATCACCCCAGTGTCACCATAATCCCCATAAACAGGAAGCAGAACCCCTAGAAGCGCACTATTACTATCCGACCCCAGAAAGACAGCAAACTGCCAAAAAGACAGAAACGGAACATGCCAGCAGAGGATGCAACACGCAGCATCAGCAGGGCGTCCCCTGCTTTAAAGAGCACTTTGTCTTTCATCCCCACTGCAGCTTCTCTCCTTCTTTGGTTTTCCCTGGGTCTGCAGGGTTTGTTCCATTGCACGCTGTACCAGCATGGCCAACACATGGTACAGAGCCCAAATAGAAGAGAACCCCTGACAACCTTGCCTCCAACAACCAACCTCAGCCCCAGCAAACAACTTTGCCCCCCAACACCCCCTCACCTCCTTGTCACTCCTTAATATCCCCCTCAGTATCTTCCCAACAATGTCACAGCCCAGCATCACTCCCCAACATGATTCCAGCATCCCCACCCCCATCACCCCAACAGTGTCCTCCCCAGTGACACCCCACCATCACCACAGTGCCATCCCCACAGCATCACCTCTACAATGAGCTGGAAAACACAGCAGCGATAGTTGAGCAGCTGAGCTCTAGGTTGCAGCAAATGAAGGTCAGCTCTAGCGCAGCATCAGTGAGCACACTCCCAAAGGAAACAAAACTGCTCTACATTGGAAAGCCTCAAGTTGGCAGAAACCACAGTAAAAGCCCTGTTCTTCCACTGCCAGCCCTTAAATGGGGGCTGGGAAGGAGTGGATCCTGGCTCCACCCCTTCATCACTCAGCAACATTGCATGCACCTGAGCTCCTCTGGATTGGCCCTGCCTTCCCACCAGGTTCTCCATCTCTGCTTCGAGCCGTGACTTAGCATTGCCACTACACTCTCACCATCACTCTGACAGTGTCACCCCAGTGTTATCCCCCAACAGTGTCACGCCAGCATCACTCCCTGCTGTCACCCATCTTCACCCCCCACTGTCACTCTCTGTTATCACCTCAACTTCACCCCTGGTGTCACCCCTTAGGATAACTCCAAAATCACTCCTGCTCTCCCCCCACGCTGTCCCTCTGTCCCTCCATCCCTTGCTGTACACCCACCTGTCCCACCATGTCCCCTTGTGCCCAGCTGCTGGCATTACCCCCCAGCTGCAGTGTAGTGCCCCGTAAGTGGTTATGTGTCACCTCTACTGTCACCTCCACCAACACATATGGGGAAAGCTCAGCTCCGTGTCCCCCATGTCACCCTCAGTGTCCCCTCTGTGTCCCCTCTGCATTCCCGTGTCCCCTCCATGTTCTCATGTACCCTCTGTGTGCCCATACCCCACCCATTTCTCTGTGTCCTCCCTGTGTCTCCTCCACATCTCCATATCCCCTTCATGTCTCCATGTCCCAGTGCCCCCCATCTCCTTGTCCCATCTGTGTCCCTATGTCCCCTCTGTGTCCCCACGTCCCCCCCATGTCCCCATGCTTTCAATGTGGTGCAGCACAGGGTGGCTCACGTGACACAACAGTGTCCCCACCGCTGTCACCATTGCTATTCCTGCCACTGTTCCCACTGTCACCAATGCTGCCGCTGCCTCCCGGCAGCTGATGGGCACCAGGGATGTGCTCTGGGGGGATGTGGGGACACCAGGGATATTATGGGGACATTGTAAGGGGATTGGGGGACACTGGGGGGACACTAGGGATGTTGGGGGCACTGGGGGGACACTGGCGTCTTTGAGGACTGGGGACATTGTGTGGACATGGGGACAGGTGCCCCCACTGCAGTGGCCCTGGCTCTGCGGAACACCATCTCCAGGCAGTGCCAGACGGTGACGGTGGCATTGTGCGTGACCTCACCGTGGTTGTGCACTACCAGCACTGCGGTCACATTGGCCACATGGCTGCCCAGCAGTGTGGCACCGGGCATCACCGGTACTGCCAGCTCAGGATGCTCGTCTGCCCCACAGCGCTTCTCGAATGGCACCTGTGGTGGCACCGGCACATCCTGGCCCAGCCTGTTACCTCCATGTGTCACATCACCATCACACCCCAGAGTGCGCTGAGGAGCTGGGAGTGGGCTCGATGATGTCTCTGGAGCTGCTCGCTGCATACTCCATAGCTCTGGGACACGTCCAGGTGTCTCTAGAGCCCACTGTGGGGCCATGAAAGAGTTCTGGGGCAACTGGGTTCCACAGCACTGGGTTCCACAGGACTGAACTGACATGTGGCTGCTTGCCAAGTAGCTGTTATGTTGGCAGTGTTTGGGACAGCAGCTCCTAGCAGGGCTGTGTAACCATTCAGACACCGATAATCTATTGTTAATCTTCACCTTCCATCTGGTTTTGAAACTAGATGGACGGGCGAGTCATACGGGGAGTGTGTTCCGGAAATGTTTTTTCTCCAAATCTGTGATGACTTCAGAAATCCCACATCATGCTACAGCAGAAATGGGGTGCTGCAGTACATCAGTGATCTCTGATTCCAGGAGCACAGGGGCTGCACGAAGTATATACATGCTGCAGGCACCCTACTTCTTTGGGGTTTGGGGTTGAAACTTGAGGATGTCAAATCCTGAATTGTTCTCACAATGGTCTTTAATCGCAAAGAAAGTAGGCGACACGTTTCTCACTGGAGAGCCATAAGCTGTCCCCTCTAGTTTGGCAGACAGCGCTCGCTCCGATCACACCGGTTATCTCAACTTTGTCGTCCAGGCTGCACACACAGCCTTTCAGCATCTTGCTGTATCAGTACTGAAATTTGTGTGCTGTATCAGTATTGAAATTTGCGCTCCCCTATCTATTAGAAATTTTACCGAATGCCTTTAAGGACAAACTTCAGTCAAAATACGCGTGCCATTGTTGCTCATCCTTTGATCAAACTCCCCTTGCCACACCTGCTCGTTATCAGTCTTTTTTTTGTTGTTTACAGTCTGAAGCAGTGATTGAGCACCTGGTGAGGGGTGTGGCCAGCCCTGCCAGCACAGGTGGAAGCAATTTACCTGTGGGACCGGATAGGGCTGAGCTTGGCTCCACCCCTCCCTGCCCATATTTAAGGGCTGGGAACAGCAAGGGCAGCATTCTGCTTGGGGACTTCCTCCTTGGGAGCATTGGGAGTGAGTTCTACCCTTTGGAATGGGGTGAGTGATTGATGCTCTATTGCAGGGCTCTGGTCTTTCCTTTTTGGGGATCCTGACCACTTTTAAGGGCTGAAAGCTGTAAGGGCAGCATTTCTCCATGGAGGCTGCTTCTTTTGGGGTGTGGGCTGAGTGTTTGTTTTTGGAATGGGGTCATTGATTTCTTCTTCATTGTTGGATTGTAATTTCACTTTCTGGGGTGCTCCTGACTGCATTTAAGGTCTGTCAGCAGAAGGAGCAGCTACTGCACCTGGACACCACTTTCTTTAGAATGTGGTGTGAACCCTTGAAACAGGGTGAGTGACTTTTTTTTTTTTTCAGGGTTGCAATATCTTGTTGTTGGGGGGATCCTGACCCCACTTAAGGGCTGGCAGCCTTTAAGGTGGTATCTGTCTTTAGAGACCATCTCCTTGGGAGTGTGGGGTGAAGTCTGATCCTTGAGAAAGGGTGAGTGATTCCTTCTTATTTTAGGGCTGTGATCTTTCCTGTTTTTGGGGCATCCTGACCACACTTAAGTGCTGGCAGCTGTAAGGGCAGCATTGATCTCTGGAGACTGTCTCCTGTGGAGCATGGGTGAGTTTTGGTCTTTGAGAAGGGTATAAGTGGTTTCTTCTTTATTTCAGGGCTGCAATCTCCCTGTTGTTGTTGCTGGTTTTTTTTTTTTTTTTTTTTTTTTTTTTTTTTTT